ATTCGGCGAGTCGCATGAAGGGTGAGCTGCATCCTGCTAAGGGTGTTCGGCATCTTGTGCTTACTTCCTTGCGTACGGATGACAGCTGCGTATGACTTAATTTATTTTCTGGTGCTTTCACTTCCAGAGACAGTTGTAAGCACTGTGTAGCTGCCTCGAGGATACTTGACCATTTTAACACAACGTGGTGCGATGATCCCCCTTGCGCGGAGTGAGGGTTCTCGACCCCGCACAACATGATCTACTCGACCACCATTCATGGTTACCGCAAAAAAAAAATACAGGAGTAAAAAAAACCCGGTAACCTGGTTGCCGAGTTCACGAAGCGAATTGGCTTGTTTTACAACGTCGTTACCAAGCGACGGAAACCCAATCCCGATGGCAAACACCGAGGGGGGGGCTTGTTTTATAACGTCGTTGCCAAGCGACGAAAACCCAACCCCGATGGCAAACACCGGGGGGGGCGGCATGTTTTACAACGTCGTTGCCAAGCGACGAAAACCCAATCCCGATGGCAAACACCGGGGAGGGGGGGGGGGTGTACTCATAGTCGTGCATGCCGTAATCGCTAGACCATTGACCTCGTATCCATACAAAGCCGGGACGGAGCACGCCGGGTTCTCACCGGACCAGGCTCTCACATCACCAAGCGCGAAGCGCCGTGAGGTATTTGGCGAGTCGCATGAAGGGTGAGCTGCATCCTGCTAAGGGTGTTCGGCATCTTGTGCTTACTTCCTTGCATACGGATGACAGCTGCGTATGACTTAATTTATTTTCTGGTGCTTTCACTTCCAGAGACAGTTGTAAGCACTGTGTAGCTGCCTCGAGGATGCTTGACCATTTTAACACAACGTGGTGCGATGATCCCCCTTGCGCGGAGTGAGGCTTCTCGACCCCGCACAACATGATCTACTCGACCACCATTCATGGTTACCGCAAAAGAAAACCAGAGGTAAAAAAAAAACGGTAACCTGGTTGCCGAGTTCACGAAGTGACTTGGCTTGTTTTACAACGTCGTTGCCAAGCGACGAAAACCCAATCCCGATGGCAAAACACCGCGGGGGGCGGCATGTTTTACAACGTCGTTGCCAAGCGACGAAAACCCAACCCCGATGGCAGAACACCGAGGGGGGCGGCATGTTTTACAACGTCGTTGCCAAGCGACGAAAACCCAACCCCGATGGCAAACACCGGGGAGGGGGGGGGGGTGTACTCATAGTCGTGCATGCCGTAGTCGTTTGACCATTGACCTCGCATCCCTACAAAGCCGGGACGGAGCACGCCGGGTTCTCACCGGACCAGGCTCTCACATCACCAAGCGCGAAGCGCCGTGAGGTATTTGGCGAGTCGCATGAAGGGTGAGCTGCATCCTGCTAAGGGTGTTCGGCACCTTGTGCTTACTTCCTTGCATACGAATGACAGCTGCGTATGACTTAATTTATTTTCTGGTGCTTTCACTTCCAGAGACAGTTGTAAGCACTGTGTAGCTGCCTCGAGGATACTTGACCATTTTAACACAACGTGGTGCGATGATCCCCGTTGCGCGGAGTGAGGCTTCTCGACCCCGCACAACATGATCTACTCGACCACCATTATGGTTACCGCAAAAAAAAACAGAGGTAAAAAAAACGGTAACCTGGTTGCCGAGATGACGAAGGGACTTGGCTTGTTTTACAACGTCGTTGCCAAGCGACGGAAACCCAATCCCGATGGCAAAACACCGGGGGGGGGCGGCTTGTTTTACAACGTCGTTGCCAAGCGACGAAAACCCAACCCCGATGGCAGAACACCGGGGGGGGGCGGGGGGGGGGGG